TTTTTTTTTTTGGTTTTTCTCTGGTACCAGGAACTGAACTCACGACCTTGTGCTTGCCAGGCAGGCGCTTTGCCACTGAGCTAAATCCCCAGCCCCCACTTTTTTCCATAAAATAAAAAAAAATGGAAAAAAGAAAATTGGCTCTTGATGGGTGAAAGAGATCTCAGATATTATAATGGTTTATGGTCACAGTAAAAAGATTCTGAAAGGTAGCAAGAGAGACACACAAGGGACCTCAGGACCCCGGCAAGCCATGTGCCTCAAGTAGTCCAGACTTGGAGCTGAAGAAGTCAAGAACCTGGGAACACCACCAAGTGCACAGAACAAAGGCCCCACAGAGAGCCTGCCTGTTCCATCCATCCAAAGGAGGAGGAAGGGGCAGCCTAGTGTGACAGACAACATTCGAAAAATCGTTGTACATCATCTCCTGTGTGTGAATGCACTTCCCCCAAAGATTATACCTTTAACAGCCTTTGACTACAGCTTTAAAAAGCTTTCTGGCTGGGAAGACACTGCTCTTCGCAATTCTCGGAGACAGGGAATGGCTGAGCCAGGAGTGCACCTTTGCTCTACATACTTATTGGTCTGGAACCGCGCTCCCTTCTATCTGGCCTGTACGCCCTGGGGGCAGTGTTACTCTGCAGTAATCGGCCCATCCCCAGGTTCCAGGCAACCATGACCACCCCTGCGGCTCACAGCCCAGTCAAACTTTCAAAGCAGCCAGTGCAACTGATTTACCTGCCCTGCTGTACCTGCCTGTGGAAACCTGAAGAAACGCTCTGCCCTAATGCTTCCCCTCATTCCTGTCTCCTACCTCTTGACCACTCTGGTGTCTTTCCCACATGGCCCTAGGTATGTAGCATGCCATGTCCTTCCTCCAGGGGCTATACATACACAAAAATGTGTTTTTCTTAAGCCTCTCCCGTGCCTCCACCTGAAACCGTTCCTGACCGACCACTGTGTAAAAGAACAGCCACATCCTGCAGAGCAGCCATGACTCCACCTCTGCCCAGGCCAGCAGCGGCCAAGTGGAGAGCCTGGACGTCACTTGCTGGACCCTAAGGCACCGTCCCACCCCAGGACAGAGCTAGGGGAGGTGGGTTCGGAGCTGGCACTTTCCTCACAGTGGGTGTAAGTCCCCTGCCTCATGCGGGTGAAGCTATGTGGAGCCTGCACGTCCGCCCTCACCCAGTAACACAGAGGTGTCCCCTCTAGCCCACCCCGCAGGGTCCCAGTCAGGACTTGCCCTGTGGGAACAAAGCTTCTCCCACGGAGCGGCAGTGGGGACCCTGCAGAGTTGCAACTTCCACCCTCACCTCACAACAACAAGGGCTCCAGGCCCCACTTTGAGCCAATGGAGGCTGAGTGGAGAACCTGGGCTTCTGCCTCAGCCCACCTTCACTTCCTCTTCCTGAGCAGTGTCAGAAAAGCTGGCTAAAAGAGAGGTTAGATAAGACCCAGTGTCCCTAATATAATGCAGAGGCACCAGGTTTCAAATGAAAAATCCTTCATTATACCAAGAACCAAAAATTCCTCAAATAAAAATTGTAACACTTCCTGACCTGGCTCTAAGTGTTAATAGAAAAAAATATTTAAAACAATTATGACTTAAGAGAGAGATAAAGGACAAAAAGAGATAGTACTAAACTTCCCTCAAACTGGTAACATGACAGTACCAGCAGACTGATAAATTATGTATGTATAATGCAATACCTAGAGCAATACAAAGAGATACACTCAAAAACACTAATAAAAATGGAATTCTAAAAAATATTCAAGGGCTGGGAATATAGCTCAGTGGTACAAGTGCCTGCCTGGCAAGCGCAAGGTCCTGAGTTCAATTCCCAGTACCAAATACATATATATATTTTTTCCTAACATACACAC